TTGTATGGTAAATGTTGATTTTTGGAAGTTGTATGTAAAAACAGGTACTGATGGGAATTTTTTATTCTATAGTATACAGAGTGTCCAGAAACTCTCTTGACAAACGAAGACCACAGATTCCTCAGATAATTTTATGACGATTTAACCCAATTCACATAGTCCGAAAATGGTTCCTAAGGGAGCTAGAGCTATTTAAAAATGGCTGCTTATAATTAGTTTTTTTTATATAACTTCAGAACGCTTTTATTTAGAAAAACGAAAACTGCGATTATTTATCCTGCAGAGTTGAATCTTCTTCTTTTTCTTCTTTTTCTTCCTTCTAGTATGTAGGCTTTAAAGCTTGTGTCTTCTACAATATTAGCCTTCTAAATTGTCGCATCATCTTTTCTTGGTCTGCCAATACTTCTTCGTCCATTTGGTGACTTATCTCGTGCTATTCGTACTATTCTATCCTCTGCCATTCTACTGATGTGTTCTTTCTACTCCTGTTTTCGTTTTGTCACCCATCCATTTATGTCTTCCATATTGTATTCTCTTCTTATGTTTTCGCTTATCTCCCTATACAACAGATTTCCCCTTAATATTCGTCGGAATATTTTTATCTCTGTTGTTTCTAACAGTCATCTCGTTTTAGATGTGTCAGGGGTTGTCTCCGCTGTGTATGTTATTATAGGTCTGATTGCTGCTTTATAGATTCTTGTTTTTGTGTCTTGTTTTAGGTGTTTGTTTTTCCAGATTGTGTCATTAAGAGAACCCGCCGCTTTACTTGCTTTTAAGTTTTGTTCTCGTACTTCTTCTTTAACATCTCCGTAACTAGTTATATCTATTTCCAGATATCTAAACCTTGCTTCCTGCTTTATTATTTTCCCATCAATTTCGATTTTATACTGTAGTGGGTATTTAGATGTTGTCATATATTTGGTTTTTTCTTCTTAATCTCTCTGCATAACATAATATTTGGATCTCTTTGTTCCCATAAGAGAAGTGGGCTTAACAAGTCACCCTGTCTGACTCCGCTTTGTACTGGTATACACTGTGTTAGTTTTCCATTTATCTTTGCCTGTATTCGATTATGGAGGTAGATGTTGTCGATGGTTTGTATAATGTTGATTGGTATGTTTCTTTTATACAGTAGGTGTAAGACGTCTTACGGTACGGCATCTTCGCAGGATCTTCCGAAAATGAATCCTTATTGTTCATCTGATAAAATTGTTAGCTTACTGTTTTTGTTGGTTTGAACATTTGTGGTAAGCTTAAGTGCGGTGTTCAGTAGGTTTATACTTCTATAATTGTTGGGTTCTTCTTTATCTCCTTTCTTGAACATTGGAATCATTATGATGTTTCTCCATGCGTCTGGTTTAAAGAGTTTGAAGAGTTGAATCGTTTCCACCAATTGGGAATTTCAAGTACCAGTCATAGGCGTCCGTTTTGGGTCAAAGGTCAAACATTAGACCCTAATTAAAAAATTATTTTTCTAAACTTACCCGTAAAATGTTTCTGTGTCCATTCTAATTTTCTTAGCGTAAACAATGAAGACAGAAAAAAAACCAAGTGTCCTTCTTGAACAGCTCTGATCGACTGTTTATTATTCCTAAATTCCTATTACCACTTGAAAGGCGATTGTACTAATCGTTATTCCCTTGAAAATTTACGAGCTAACAGAAACGATATTAGGTATAATTTATTAGTGTATATTAAGTACTCAATGATGCCAACCAACGATCCCATTTTGGGACATGGCTATTCCGACAATTTTTTTTTTAAAGTAATGAAGGAATTCAAGCGCAGTATAAACCATTTAGTAAGGTAGTTAATTGGCTACCTTATTTAAAAAAATAATAGCAATAGAATAATTTTTGCGGACTTAATGACAAAAACCGTAAAGCGAATCAAAAAATTGAATTTTTGTGCTTTATACTTTTTGTTATCCAAATAAATAAATCCAAATCGAAGTTAAATTAGATAAACTCGCAAGCCCCTTAGCTTTCCAAAACATATGTAGTGATATTTACAAAAATAATTGCATAAACAATCCTAAAAAAAGTGTTTAAAATAGGTGTTTTCCAAAAAATAAGCTAGATTTATTTATATTATAAAACTAAAAAAAAGTATTTTATATTATGAAATAAGATTCAACAATGTTAAATTTAAATGGTACTTAATAAAAATTTGAAATATTTAACTATAATTTTCTATAAGTTGTAAATAAACAGGTTACGGTGGCAAACTTTAGATAAAATTTTTATCACAAAAAAAGTTACAGCCCTTTGAAGTTACAAAATAAAAATTGTTTTTTTTTGCATTATCTTCTAAACTACTTGACGTTTTGTAATAAAAATGGACACGTTACTGTCTTGTTCTGAAAGCATTTTTCATAAAAAAGAAACAACAAAATCTAAGCCCACAGAAAAATTTTAAGGAGATTGTGCAGCATAAATCCCTCCAAACTTTTAAGTACGTTCAAATCAAATAAATTTTGTAGCATCATTAGTTTAACACATTAGTTCTAAAATTTTTTTACCTTCTATCATTTTTTCCAAAAAACAGTTTTTATTGAGTTACGACCCTTTTCAATAACCTTAAAAAAATTACGTGCAATTTAAAAAATGACTTAAATGAATCAACAAGTACAAAAAATGTCTATAGCCTCTATAAATATATTACAATAAATGTTCAAAATGACCCCCATTTTCTCTAATACATATTCAGTATCGTTTTAATAAGGAAAACCGAATGCGCTGAAAAATCATATTTTTCTGACGAAATTGATTTGCAGCTTCAATTATTCTAACCCTCAATTGTTGTTTGTCGTCTATTGTTACAGAATACACTTTCTCTTTTATAAACCCCCAAAATCAAAAGTCCATGGGATTAAGACCTGGACTTCTGGGTGACCAAGAAGTAGGTGCGTCACGACGCCTTCCAATCCACCGACCAGGATACTGCCTGTAAAGGTATTCCCGGACTTCTGTAATGCGGTGGAGCGCCATCTTATAGAAACGACATACTATGCCTTATTGTAAGATTCACTTCTTCCCAATACTCTTGTAAATCGTTTGCCAAAAACTTCAAATAATTATCACCCTTTAAATTGTTGGGAAGAAATGCTTGACCTATTAAATTGTTATCCACAATTCCTGCCCAAAACATTAACTTTGAAGGTCCTTTGGTTATGAGTCGTTTTTTTTTTTGGCGTAAGAATTTTCGTCGGCCCAAATGTGCTCGTTATGATAGTTTGTTATTCCATTTCTACTGAACGTAGCCTCGACGGTAAACAAAATATTTCAAATAAAATTACCATTTCGAGTGTTTTCCATTAACAACCAATCGCAAAATCCAATCCTTTTAGGATAATCTTCAACCAATAACTCTTGAACCATTGTTAAGTAATAGGGTTTAAACAGCTGATGCTTCAAACGTCCCCAAACCCTTACGTGAGGAACATTTAGACGAGCAACTATTACCCTTGTACTTGTTACAGGGACTTCTTCAATGGTTTTTAAAACGCATCAGTTGCATCCATTATTGGACAACCACTATTGCCAGCAACTTGCGGTTGGAATGTACTTGTTTCCCGTAAATGACGATCAATGGTCAAAAATAATCGTCTATGGGTGTATTTCGATTGGCATAATCGGGTGTATTTTACTGCATACCGCCTTGCGGCTGCTGCACTATTTCCTTGATAGTCACCTACGATATTCCCGATAGTTTATTGAAATCATAATTTAATCTGATCCAACTTACCCAAAGTTAAATGCATATCTTCCATTTCCTGAAATGTGTTGGCCATTGTAATATCAAAATTTTTAATATTATTCTTATTTATACAATTGTATCCGTAGAAACTTCGGCACTTTTAATTGTTTATTTGCATTTTATGTTTAAAGTGATAAGCATTTTATGGAAAAACCACAAGAATAACTTTCTTATATTTAAATACCCTTCTAAGGTTTTTAAAAAACTCACAATATTAAAAAAGAAATTTCAAAGCAGTTTTTTTTATAATTTGTTTAGAATTTATTATAAAAAAAAACAGATTCACACGAAAAATTTTCGGTAAATATTTAAAAGTAGCAAGCATATTGACGTCATAATCCATCGATTAAAACAAGTTTCAGCCTGTGGGTATGAAATCGACCTTTTTTCGACAAAAGCCACCGTCTACTAGTATCACCAAGAGGGAAGGAAGGCCCTGGAAAACTACAGCCGCTTATCCATTCCTACGATACCTTACAGAGGTACTTCGACCAGTCAATTCGAAGTGCCTTCTGTGTAGATTCCATCTTCGGTGATTCATCGATATTTCTCACATACGTAATGAAATAAAAACACATTTTTTAAGGTGAAAAATGTCCAGCCACGAGTCTAGGTTCGTGAAACGTAAGCACAGCCCCGACAAAGGGCTCCCAGGATATAGGAGACCCTATATGGAAGACGGAGCAAGACTAGCCTGTGACTTGCTTCACTTCCATGATGTTCTTTCTGATTTATCTTTTCTTTTGTATGATTCTATTGTGATTTGTTGTATTGGGTGTCGGCTCTGGATCACTGTGTTATGTCTCATTGATAATTTACGTCGGTGTATGTTGTTCCTGCGGAGCAGGTCGATGTTGAGAGTGGTCGGAGGTGAAAGGGTTTAATGTAAAATGGTCCTTTTCAGAAATTGTTAGTAAATTAAGTAATTAATGAACGGAATTAAGAATAAAGCCTGTGTCTTGAAGATGTCCTATATTTGTATATTTCGATATGGGCATTTTCAGATCAGTTGGTCAATATTAAAAATTGTAGATGTTTTGAGATAGGGCGATGCGCATCGGAATGCATATTAGTCCACGACTAAAGCATGCGATGACACTAGACACAGATGGTCAATAATAAATTGATACACTCGCATTTTGTAAGACTAAGCTAAGTTAAAAAAAAAAAGTTACCACTGCCGATATTACTTTTTGTAGATAAAAATAGTATTATTATATCATTTTTCTTATCCTTTTTAGAATTACATTTCCAAAAGCCAAACAATTTATTTGAAGATGATTCTTTGGACAAAATAAATCTTACATCAACCTTAAAACCCGAGGAGAAAAATGTTGCTATAACTACGATTAATTGGGAATCTAAATCTGTATGTAAGTATATAACTTGTGTTAAAAATCTCATGAAAACAGTTTTACCTTTACCTACTTTTTAAAAAATTAATTGTGGGTACGCACCCGGAGTCCAAAAAAATGTTAATAAGCATGCTATTGTCTTATTGTTTCGAAGCTATTTTCTTGTGGCATTTTAAATTAATTACTATTTACCTGGGAATAAGCCACAATTAAAGATAAAAATACGTTTATTGACGTTTCAATTTCCACTTCGGAAATCGTTCTCAAAATACAAACAGTAAATTAAACAAATTTTGTTTTTTGTTCCATAGTGAAAAATTCTTCTAATAATTTAATTCAATCTGACTCATTTATATTGACAATTCAGACATACATTATGCATTTTAAAGTAGACGACTTTAAAATGATATTGCCAATATTGTTGAGTTGCGCTCCTGGGACGACTTTACTGATAAGATAGTTTATTCGATTACATGAAATCAACTTTAACTTGAGAATATCCGTCAGAAAAAAATCATAGCATGTAATTCGTCTTTAAAAAAACAAACACATAACATGATGACAGTAAAATTCTCCTGTTAGTTTTATCAGTTTTATTTAGGTGAAACATCAAGGCCATTGAATGTTAGAATAAGTGAACATCAATGTTATATTAAAAATAGAGAATTTGATAGATCTCAAATATGTAAACACGCATGGGATAATGAACATAGGGTTCAATGGAATAATTTAAATGTAGTCCTAAAAGAAAGGGATGGTAAAACAGAAAAATCAAAGAAGCGGCTTTAATTATGCTAAATGAAGCTAATTGTGTCGCAAATTCCTCGGCAGAATGTAGTAAGATCTGGTTACCAATATTGAAAGAGGAAGTTATTAATAAGAAAATACCAGTATTAGTAAGTCAGTAACATATAGAATATACATCATTTATGTTTTTTAAATAACAAAACATTTAAAATCAGAATTTTGGTGATTATTGAAGGTAAACTAAATGCACGAACAAATACTTACCATGTCGGGATAGTATTATGAGATTTTTTTCCTGGTTTTTCCCTCATAATTTACTATGGAATCACTAACAGGAGAATTTTACTGTCATCATGTCATGTCTTTGTCTTTTTAAAGACGAATTACATGCTATGATTTTTTTCTGACGGATATTCTCAAGTTAAAGTTGATTTCATGTAATCGAATGAACTATCTTATAAGTAAAGTCGTCCCAGGAGCGCAACTCAACAATATTGGCAATATCATTTTAAAGTCGTCTACTTTAAAATGCATAATGTATGTCTGAATTGTCAATATAAATGAGTCAGATAGAATTAAATTATTAGAAGAATTTTTCACTATGTAACGAAAAACAAAATTTGTTTAATTTACTGTATGTATTTTGAGAACGATTTCCGAAGTGGAAATTGAAACGTCAATAAACGTATTTTTATCTTTAATTGTGGCTTATTCCCAGTTAAATAGAAACTATGCTATTGTCTTTGTAATAAAATGGAATATCAGAATAGACTTCAATTTAAATATTTTTTGTGCATACTCGTATACAGATTGGAGCGCTTTTTTGTCACTACTATGATTTAATACTACCAAAATTTCGTTGATTGGTGATGTTTAGCTGTTTTCTTAACCCTTATCCAGGTAACACATTTTACTTACGTTACCGGGCAACTCGGGTCCGTTGGGCCCACTAGTGTTTTTGAGTGTACTCATGTTCATATTTACAAATATATTTCTAATATTCTTTTTTGATTTTTTAGTAAAGTTAAATTTAAATGGTCTAGATTAAAAAAAGAGTGCTACTTTAGTATGCGGTCTACCTCGAGGATACGATCTACATGAAGGATTTGCACAAAATAATGAAATGCATGAAAACTTTTGTAGAAAAAATATTTTATTTACAAGTATTAAACATTTAGAGCCAAATAACGACTCAATAAAAAATAAATAAAAACTTTTGTAAATCTACCAGGCCATTTTATTTGAAAACAGGATTGACCTTTACGCATACTCTGAAAAAAGATTATGGTTTTGTTGCCTTTCATTATTGTGTGAAAACCCTTCTGAGAAAAGATTATGGTAATTAGAAGCTCATGTATAAAGCACGAACAAAACAATCTTTACAAAATAAATAAAACGCATAAGTCAGAAGAATATTGTTATTTTACTTTTACAAATTAATACTTTGTCATATTAATTTACTCTTTTAGTTGGGACTAAGCCACAAGATTATTATTAAGTATTAAGTTAATAAAACAATAAAAATAAAAAATCATACATTAGTCATTTATTTTTCTTTATTGCAATACTTACAAATTTTTTTAATTGTACACACAGTGTCTAGGTGTAAGTGGTCGTTACATACATTTCTACTGCATATTTCACAAATTTGTTTCTGTTTCCTGACATTTTTTTTTTTGTTCACACGTGACGCCTTTTCCTTGTTGAAACTGGAGGTTTTTCTAGGTTTTGCTTTTTATTCTGTGATTCAACTTCCTGCAAGCTTTTTTAATACACTGTTTTGTTTCCCATTGTAGTCCCCTTGATTTTTTTCTCAAAATTTGAGACAATACTAGTTGTTCTGCTGTCGTTGTAAGAAACAATATTTGCTTTTCATTTTTGTTATCGTTTCATTTTGGATGTAAATGTGTCCAAGTATTAAATGAGACTACACCAGGCACGTCTAAAATATTCATAAGAAATACAAAGGCCAACGGTTAGTTCGTCTTTTGCACCTATATTTATGAACCATTTGGTCTAGCGTATCGACACCACATTTTGTACTATTATAATAGAGTATCATATCTGTTTTTTTTGTCATTATCATCTACTCACTAAGCGTTGTGATGCATGGTAGACAGCACAAGAGATGTTTTTGGAGTGAATCTGAAAATTGAAGATTTCTGTAAACGGTTCTTGTTTGGTAGAAATTCCAGAGTAATCTCTTTTTTTTTTCACTTTGCCCACAAAAGTAAGTGAATTTGCCAGTAATTTTTGTGCAAGAGCAAGATTAGTAAAATAGTTCCTATATCCTCTTAGAATTATAATAAGGCTCAAAGAGTTGCGTTGCAACTTGAGATGCACGACCTTTGGCTACTGTATTTCTGTCATTTCCTGTATATAGTATTCCACCTAAAGGGTAATATGTTTTAGAGTCACAGGCCCACCATATTTTCATGACATACATAAATCTGGCTTTAAAGGCATATAGTTAAGTATAAAGGCAACAAGTTACTCATCTACCGTATGTTTTCTCCTGGTAAATAGTATTTCTGAAAGTTTTGATATTGTATTGTATTATAAGTACTTGATTTCGTAGTACTAGAAAATTTCTGTTCTGTCCTCCTGCGGTATCAATAATAAGTTTTATCAATAATAGTTTTAATGGTAGAAAATTTACTTATCTGGATACAATCAAATAAAAAAGATACCACAGAGTTGGGATTTTTCTCTCCATCACACTCAGTAAATGTATAGCAATAACTAGAGTCGTCTTTAAACACATGAATGTTAAAACAGTACTACCAAAACATTCTCTTGTAGAATTGGGTCTTGATATTTAGCTTTAATTGCTATTGATTTAGCAATTTACATATCACGCAGTTCTTTCTCAGACATATATTTAACATATGAAAAGATAGAATGTTACAAAAATAGTTACAGAACTCTAGGCCTAATAAAATTTAAAAATATTATTGCACATTGGTAGTTTCTCTTCTTAAACACTTAAAAAAAGTCAGTAATTTTTTTCTGATGATTTTTGATGTGCAAAGTCACGCCACTTTTTAATAATCATTACATCGATAGTAGTTGCTTCTTTTTGCTGTTCGACGTAGGTAGCTGCCAGTTACAATGCTGCTTTGCTTCAGTGTGGCTCATTTTATTTTCTTCATCCCCTATTTCTTTCTCAGCAGCGTCTGTATCGTTACTCTTCTCATTTTCTTGGCGAATGACACACTCAACGATTTCGTCGTCGTTTAAAACCTCGTTGTGTAGCTTCTTTTCATAGTTTATTTACCCCAAAACATATTCTTTAACATTGGGACCACAGTTCGGTAGTTGCTGAAGCTGGTGCAAAATCGCTACATTGTTATTAGGTTCGTTAACAAGAATGTTGTTTGGCTCATCTGCTGATGTGTTTGCTTGGTTATTCTTATCTTCTATATTTAGCCAAGGTTTTTTCCAAGACTTTACAAACGTCGATGGTGGTATTTCGTCGTATGCCTTGGCCGATATGTACACAACATCCTTCATATTAACTGACTTCAGCGCTTTTAAGAGGTCTAAGTTGTCATCAGTCTCCAGTTTGAAAAGAGTTTCAGAAAGCAATTTTCGGCAATTATGCACTCAATGACTCCTTGGTCCATTGGTTGATGAACACTGGTTACATTGCGTGGCAGGAACGGCAGTTTAATTTCTTTTTCATCGTCACACTAAAGACCTTCCTGCTGAGTAGTAATTTTGTCAAATGGTTTTTCACTTTCGGAACAAATTCACAAACAAACCATTCCCTAAACAAATATATGTGTTGGCATTTTAGGCAATCACGTTATTGGATTAATATTTCTTAAAGTTATTCTCAAGGGAACAACCTATTTAAATTTGTTACAAAATACTATTGATCTGCTGATAACTAACTAAAATCGACGAGACAAGGCACTCACGCATTGTAATATACGCGTAAGACAAAAAACGTAAAAGAAATGATACAAGAAAAGAACAAATTATATAAAAAATGGCTAACAAATAAAACATCTAGCAATAGAGTATCATATCAAATGAAAAACGGAGAAGTGCGCCAGCAAATAAAAGAAGCAAAAAACAATTTCTGGGAACAAAAATATGTCCAAGTTGAAAATTTAATGGGTGGTTCTCAGACAACGGAAGCATGGAGAACTATCACTAATCTAAAGAAGAACACCCATAACTCATTAAGCAACTTAATTTCTATAGAAAAATGGGAAAATCACTATAAAAATTTACTCCAAGAGTCCAGATTGGAATATATGGGAGAAGAATACAGTATGGAGAGACAAACAAATAGTAACATTAATACTACCAGCAACGAGGTCCGTACTGCGCTAATTAAAATGAAAAACGGGCGATCTTCAGGACCTGGCAATATAGCTGTAGAGTTACTTAATGCAGGAGGTCCACTCCTAATCGAACGAATAACTTTTCTAATGAATCAATGCTGCCAACAAATTAAAATACCATCTAAATGGAAAACCGCTCACCAAGTGTCCATCTTTAAAAATGGTAATCGAAAAGATCCTAACTGCTACAGAAGATTGAGTGTCCTACCTACTTTCGGCAGATTGGAAAGATAATAAATAGAAAAATACAAGATGATGTAGGACATCTAATTAGCGAAGACCAAAGCGGATTTACGCCTGGTAGATCTTGCACTGATAACTTGTTTATACTCCAACAATTAATAGAAAAAAGAATAGCGGTTGGTAACGAAGTACATCTAGCCTTCATCGATCTAGAAAAAGCGTATGATACAGTAACAAGGCCTAAATTGTGGCAAGCTTTACAACAACTCGGCATTAGTCCACACCTTTTAGGAATAATCACAGAAGTATACAGGGATAACACCACTTACCTAAAAATCGGAAATAGACTATCAGAGCCGATAAAAGTAACTAAAGGACTGAGACAAGGATGCAGTATGTCATCTTTACTGTTTAATTTATATATTGAGGCAGCCCTTCAAAATTGGAAAAACCACTGCCAGGGAATGGGAATCCCAATAGGAAATGACGTACTGTTCTCCCTGAACTTTGCGGATGACCAAGTCGTTCTAGCTCAAGATTCTTATGATTTAGAATTTATGATAAAGCGTCTATACAGAGAATATGTAAAATGGGGGTTAAAAGTCAGCATGAAGAAAACGGAATATCTAATTATCAATTCAGATGCAAGGTTTGAAGTGTTGATAGACGAGGACGTGAAAATCACACAAGTGGAAAAATTTAAATATTTAGGTGCATTCATTGATAAGAACGGCTTGGGTGAAACCGAAATTAAACACCGAATTAATCAGGGACGTAAAATTGTAGGATGTTTGAACTCCTTATGGTGGGATCGCAACATTTCCAAAAGGAACAAAAAAAGAATAGGGCAAACGATGGTTGAATCAGTTCTTTGTTATGGCTCTGAAGTATGGACAATTAATGCAGACCTGAAAAGAAGATTGTTGGCAGTTGAAATGGATTATTTGAGAAGAAGTGCTAGAACATCAAGGCTGGAAAGGAAAACCAACGAATCTATAAGAAATCAGATGAATGCTACAGATACGGTCATAGACAGAATAGAAAGAAGAGGTTTAAAATGGTTTAAACACCTGTTAAGAATGCCTGACGAACGTTGGCCCCAAAAACTTCACAAATGGAAGCCCCCTGGTAGAAGAAAAAGAGGTAGAACTCGACGATCATGGAATGAAGGTATTAGAAGAGCAATGGAATCGAGAGGTTTGGAGGAGGAGCATGCCTTGGACCGAGAGGATTGGCGGAGGAGGACGGGAATACGGCGATAGCCGTCTCCAAGATGTATTCTATTTACAAATTGGATCCTGTAATATATATACAATTTTTGAACCGACGTTTTCCAATAAGGTGGATTGGCAAAAGAGATCCAATAGAGTGGCCGAAAAGATCATTGGATCTTATGTTTTTGGATTTTTTGTTGGCATACTTAAAATTGTGATAGAATTGTAATGTAGAAAGAGGCTTTAAAAATAGACTCCATCGTATGGAGGTCACAGGAGGTCATCTCTAACATTTAATTAATTTGATGAAATTTTATGTTTTTAGCTATTACTAATGTTCAACCAATAAATTTGTTAAGTCCAAAATTATCTTCAAAGTTATTCCATAAATTAAAAAAAATAGAGTGTTAAATAATAATATGCCACTTGACCACACTCGACATGAATTTTGCATGAAAATTCGTCCCCCTCCAAATCAGAATTTCCGTGTTTTTTATTTTTAATTTTGAGGTAACTCTTGGTTTTGAAAGTTCGAATTTTCGTTGGAAAACACTGTATATTTTTTATACGTTAAAAATGACGTTTTGTATATTTTGTTTATTACATAGTGTTATCACCAAATTTAGTAAAAGCAGTTTTTAGATACCTGTATCAACGAATGCCACGGAAATCCTTAGTTCTCTGGTCTATATTTTAAATATAAGAAAAATTAAATTAGAAGCAAAAATCAAAATAATAAACCCAATGTATTTTAAAATAATTGTAATTGTAATTAATTCTTATTAAATATAGTATTGTAGATGATATAGAAAACCCACAAAAAATATTTCTGCACCCATACGAAAATGCTATTTATCGTTTTTTGGTAATTATTTTTTTAATATTTTCTTCTAAAATATTTTGCCTGGTATTTTTAGGTATGGATAGAATAAAGAAATTGAAGGCGTCCAAAAACAATCAGTCGAAAGCAGAAAAATTGAAAGTGGATGACAGCAGTGCAGGAACAAATATTGTAATCAATATAAATACGTTGCTGCTAGGTTTCTTTGTTTATCTAAATATTCAATTTTACTATACAAAAGTTGAGTAGACAAACGTAATTTAGTTTTACCGATAGTTTTAACTAGTTAAGAAATTTAAGAAATACTATCATAAAACATATATTAAATAAAGATACATTTCAGTATGTCAGTATTTTAATAATTAATAAATTTTATTTTAAACAAAACTTATCGTAGTTTGAATATTTATATCAACTCCTAAATCAGCCTTAGCAGTTCATATCTCTGTCCCCTCATTACGTGTCCCAGATATTGTAACTTTCTTATTTTTATCGTTTTTATTATTTCGCATTCTTTGTCCATTTATCGCAACACTTCCGTGTTAGTTTTCTTTTGCGTCCATGCTATTCTAAGCATCCTCCTGTAACACCACATTTTAAAGAACTGTAACTTATTTATGTGTTCTTGCTTCAATGTCCAGCTTTCAAGTCCATATTGCAGTATCGAAAACACGTAGCATCTCAGTGCTCTTACTCTCAGTTCTAATCTAAGATCTTTGTTGCAGAGAATTGTTTTCATTTTTACAAACGCATTTCTTACTATTTCTATCCTAGCTCTTATTTCGGTTGTTTGATAATTATTGTCTGATCGGGGAAAGGAATGAACGAGGCGATAGGCTTGTCGATTTCTGTGTCAATGAGGAACTCATAATTACAAATACATTGTTTAAACTTCCTAACGTAGACTATATACATGGAGGTCACCAGCTGACAATAACAACAAAATAGTCAGAAATCAAATAGATTATATTATCGTCAACAGAAGATATAGAAATTCTATAATATCATCTAAAACTTATCCAGGAGCCGACATATCCTCCGATCACAACCCGGTTGTTTTGTCGATGAGAGTGAAACTAAAGAAGGTCAACAGCCCTAGCTCCAAGAAAACCATGGATACAATACGTCTCAAACAAGACAACACATATGCGGAAACGAAACTTAAAATAAACGAGAACTTAAGGAACGTCAAAGAAGATAATGAGGAAACTATTGACTGAAAATGGGGAAAAATTCAAGATGCTCTTGTGTCACTTGGAAAAGAAACCCTCAAACCACTCGGAGAAAAAACAAAACCTTGGATGACAGTAGAAATTCTTGAACTTATGGAAGAACGAAGAAAACATAAAGCTAAAGACCTGAATAAATACAAAGAAATTAAGAGAAACACCAGAAAGAAAATTCAAGAGGAAAAAGAGAGGTGGCACTCCGACAGATGCAAGGAAATAAAAGATCTGGATAGTAAGTATGATAGCTTTAATTTACATAAAAACTCCAAGAAATGACAGGTTCTAGAAAACATACAAAAACGAATATACTTAAAAATGTTAAAGGGGATATTATTACTGATATGAAAGAGAGATTATGTCACAGGACCAATTACATCCAACAACTATTTAATGATGAAAGAGAAAAACTGTCATTAGAAATCACCGAGGATACCGGACCACCAATATTAAGAGAAGAAGTCATCTATGCCATCAAAAATACAAAAGGGGGTAAAGCTACTGAACCGGATGATGTGCCCATCGAATTATTAAAACTCATCGATGAAGATCAATGATAATTCAACCATTACATCATTGATGTAATGGTTGAACTCTGTAATCTAATATATCAGACTACCAGCAATGGCTGCAATCGACCTGTGTAGCAATTCCCAAAAAGTTAAGTGCAACAACTTACTCAGATCAGAGAACAATAACTTTAATGAGTCACACACTTAAAACATTTTTGAAAATAATTCACAGCAGAATTGTTAAAACTCTTGAATATGAAATTAGTGACACACAATTTGACTTTAGAAATGGTATGAGTACAAAAGATGCTTTGTTCGGCTTGAATGTGCTGGCTCAGAGATGCATGGACATGAATGAGGACATGTACTTATGTTTTGTAGACTTTGAAAAGGCATTTGATAAGGTTCAACATAAAAAACTTGTAGATATATTAAAAAGCAAAAATATTGACAGTCGTGATATGAAAATTATATCTAATTTATATTGGAATCAAACTGCCAAGGTAAGAGTTGACAGCCAGTACACCGAAAATATCAAAATACAGAGAGAAGTCTGCCAGGGTTGCCTGCTGTCCCCACTACTTTTTAATGTCTACAGTGAAGCGGTATTTCAAGAAGCGCTCTCAGACTCAATAGAAGGTATATCTATCAATGGAGAAGTTTTGATTAAGTTACGTTTTGCAGATGATAATGACGGATAACAATAATGATTTACAGAACGTAATGCAACGCCTTAATGAACGCTGTCATGAGTACGGACTGAAGATACATTTAAAGAAAACTAAATACTAAATAAATGCTCATGACTAAATCTGCACATGCAAATATCCAATTGACTATTGAAGATACTGCAATTGAGAGTGTTAATAACTATAAATACTTAGCAACATGGATAACATCAGATGTAGACCAAAACAAAGAAATTAAGACAAGCATTGAGATAGCACGTACATCATTCATTAAACTTAAAAAGTTTCTTTGTTGTCGGGATATAAGGTCTGAGAATGCTTCAATATTACGTTTTCTCTACTCTTCTTTATGGCTTGGAAGCGTGGACACTAAAAAAGGTCAATCTGAATAAGTTGGTCTCCTTTAAATTTTGGTGTTACAGACGAATCCTACGAATATCATGGATTCAAAGAATGTCAAACGTAGAAGTAACTAGAAGGATAGAAAATGAGGCGGAAATAATATTAACTAATAAAAGACGAAAACTTGAGTACTTAAGACATTTGATGATAGGGCAAAGATACGCATTATTACAACTTATTATGCAGGGCAAAATCCGAGGAAAGCGAAATGTGGGAAGGAAAAGAATATCCTGGCTTAAGAACTTAAGGGAATGGTTTGAATGCAGTGGTGCAAAACTTTTTAAAGCGGCAGTCAACAGAGTCCGCTTAACAATGATGATTTCCAACCTTCGATAGAAGATGGAACTTAAAGAAGAAGATCATTATTTTCTGAAATCCAGGTTCCTAGTTATTTGTATTTATCAACCCTTTCTATCGATATATTTCCCAAATGTGTGTTTGTTTGTATATTTGTTTTCTTTGTTATTATCATGTATTTGGTTTTTTTATATTAATTTTTAGTCCATATTTTTCATAAAAAAACTGTTTGATATGTTTAGCAGTAATTGCAGTACTTGTTTAGCACAGCTTGCCATAATCACGGTGTCATCTGCATATCTTATGTTGTTAATAGATCTTTCGTTAATTATTATTCCTTCACTTAGAGATAGTCATGTTTCTTCAAAAATAACTTCACTATATACATTAAATAGTAATGGGGACATAATACATCCCTGCCTAACTCCTCTCCTAATTTTAATTTCTGAACTGGGTTCGTTATCTATTACGATTTGTGCTCTTTTGTGCTCTTTTGTACGTAAGTCTTTATTGTCAATGTTTTTTGTCGTTAGAATTTGGACTAATCTTTCATGTCTTACTTTGTCAAATGCTTTTTCAATATCAACGTAACAAACATGCATATCAACATTCATATCCATGCATATTTGAGCTAACACATTAAAAGCAAATAACGCTTGTCTGTTCCTAGTCCGTCTCTGAACCCAAACTGACTATCATCTATTCTTTCTTCCAGATTTTTATTTATACGAGCATGTATTATTTTCAGGAATAATTTGAGAATGTGACTTATTAGTGATATTGTTCTCTGTTCTCTGCAATATTTAGCGTTTGTATTTTTAGGGATAGCACAAAAGGTAGAGAGTAAGGTGAAGTCTACTATTTTATCATCATTTATTCATTTTGAGATTTCTATAGGGATTTGGTCTGGACCTAATGCTTTACCATTTTTGCTGTTTTTTAATGTCATTTTCATTTCCACTTTTAATATCTTTAAAACCATATCTCCTTTTACTTCTATCTCCATCTGTTCTGTTCTATTGTCTTTGAACAGTTCATTGACGTATTCTGTCCATCTCTTTAATTTGTAGTTAGTATTAAACACAAGTTTACCATTTGCATTTTTCAGTATTCCCGGTTTTCTTGTTCTATTGTTATGAGTTAATTCTTTAATTTTTTTATGTGTGTTAAAACTATCATGTATTTTCTGGTATTTTTCTATTTCTGCGCATTGTTCTTTTAACCATTGTTCTTTCGCTTTCTTAATTCTGTATTTTATTTGTTTATCCACTTTTTTGTACATCTCATTATCTTTGTTCTTATATTAACGTTTTTCTTTCATTTAATCTAAAATTTCTTTCGTCATCCATTGCTTCTTTCTATATCTGGTTGGTATTAGAATTTCTTTTTGACTTTTATCTATTTCTGTCTTTATTAATAAATTTTTTTAAAGATACATTGATCCGTTGTTAATTTCATCTGCCAGGCGTTGCCTTATGAGTGGGTTTCTTAATCTACTTGTATCGATTTTTGCATTTGTTGATCTTCGTTTTATTATTTTCATTTTGAGCCTAATTTTGGTAACTACTGGGTTGTGATCTGATCCTATGTCGGTACTTGGATAGGTTTTTGCGGATATAATTGCGTTCCTGTATCTTTATTTAACTAAGTCATTGTCTATTTGGTTTCTTACAATTCTCTCTTCTTGATCTACGGGTGACTTCCAGGTATATTCCAGGTTTTCTCTTTGGCATTTTAAACAATGTATTAGTTATAACCATAATTATCGTTTCGGCAAAATTCGATAAGTCTGTCGCCCCTTTCGTTTCTGTTACCCAGATCATGTTCTCCTGTACATTCTTCTACTTTTTCTTTCCCAACCTCTGCGTTAAAGTCTCCCATTATTATTGTTACATCTTGCGATTTAATGAATTTTAAAATGTTGTCTAGGTCTTTGTAGAAAGTTTTAATATCGCTCTCTGGTTTGTCTGCAGTTGGAGCAAAAACTTGTAGGATGCTTATTTTGGGTTTGTTCTTGTTTAATTGTAAGAGTATAATTCTGTTGGAGTATGGAGTGAAATTTATTACAGCTTCATCAATGTTTTTGTTTAATATTATCCCGACACCATATATGTGTGAACCGTCTTGACTCCTGAATAATATATTGTTTTATTGTTGATTTTTATCGTTCCTGAGTCGGGCCATTGGACATCGCTGTTTCCTAAAATATCTATATTTAGCATTTCCATTTCCTTAACGGCATTATGTCCTTTTCCAGCT